GAAAAGAAAAATATTTTGACATCGACCTGTTTAATTAAAAGTGCTATTAATTAGGTGGCTTTAATTGGGAAAAGAAATCTTGAAATATTCTATTAAGTGTTTATTAATGCTGTTAATTAAGCCTAGTCCCACAACGCTAATTATTAACGTTATTAATTAATTACCTTCAATATAAACAAAAAATCATCTTTTAATAAGACTCCAAGTGCTTTTAATTACACACATTAACACGATTTTAATGAATTAAACAATTAAAATTAAATTTATTAAACGTCTCCCAATTAATCAAAAGCTGTAATTAATAAAAAGCTTCAAATAAATTCCTCCCTGCGCATTATTAATTTTTATTAGGGTGCTTTTAATTATTCAATAATCACAAAAATAACCACTAATAGCTCAATTAATTGGTTATCGATTCTCCTAATCCATTAATACTCAGTTATTAATACTGTTAATTATTGCTAATTAAAAGCAAGCGTTTAATTGGGAAAATTAGCAAGAACCCAAACTTAATTTAAACGAATTTTTCCACGAATTTTCGTAATTAAAAACTTCCTTAATAACTAATAACAGTAATTATTTTAAATGTATTTCACATCCACTGCCGTAATTAAAATCCAATCAACACCTAATTATTTATCAATAAACTCATCTCATCTTTTCTTTTCCCCCTAATTAAAAGCACTTTATTATCGCTTTTTATGCCCAATAAATTGAATTTTAACATTTAAGAAGCCTAAATAAACCCCTAAATTAAAGAAATCAATTTGTTAACGCTATTACTCGACGGCAGGTAAATTCTAATTACAGAAATAAAATTCAAAGCAGGTTAAAATAAATATTTTTTATCCATTTCATTCGGCAATTAAGCGTTATTTTGGATTTTTCGAGCAGAAACGGGGAAATTTCGGCACAAAATAAAGGAAAATTCGGGTGTTTCACCCACCCTAAATCACCAAATCCCTGCTGAAGAGCGAAATTTCCCGCCCAAAATTAAAATTTACGTGTTCAGCCGCCCAAAATTTGGGGTTTTTTAATTATAAAAAGCGAAATTAAAAACGAATTTTATTCTTTAGAAGTGAAAATGGACGCGAAGCCTCGAAGCCCCCTCAGGCTCAGCACAACGAGCAAAGTCTAAAAATTCCGATTTTTACAGCAAATATCCCTTCAAAAAGCGTTCAGAGCTCGAATTTAATAATTTATGCGTTATAAAAAATAATAATTGAAATGAATTTAATCCTTTCGACAGAAAAAAATTCAAGGAAAAATTGAAAATTCCCCTCAGGCACCACATAACAAAAGGGGGTGTGTAAGCACATGGCTCTGCCGGCAAAAAGCCTCGGAAATTTTACCGAATCAACCAATTAATAAATGTACGCATAAAATTAAAAAGGAGAAATTGAAATTTAAACCTTTCTATTTTAAAACGAAGCTGAAATTTTCAATTCCCCTCAGGCTCCGCCTGACAAAAAGCGGCGCCCCGGGGGGGGAGGATTCGGGGGAGGGTCTAAAAACCTGCATTAAACATGGAATTCCCCCTCAAAAATCCCATCAACAGCACGATAAAATACGAATTTAATTAGAAACTTTGATATTAAATTAAAACGCGTTTGAATTTCCCTCAGAAATCCGCGACAAAGCGCGGGGAACCGAACCCTCCCCCTCACGGCACGGCCGCTCTTTCCCGCCCCTCACGGCAGAAACCGGCGGGAATTTTTAACGCCGAAACCGAAGCTTTAGGGTTTAAATTCTTTAAATGCGTTTGTTTAATACGATTTTGATTTAATTTGGCTTGATTGAATTTGATTGAATTTAATTTGATTTTTGATTTCGCGGAAGGACCCGGATGTGTCACTGCGGCAGCGGCGCCGCGCACGCGCCGCGCGCACAAAATGGCGGCGGTGGCGCAGAGGCAAAACCACAAAATGGCGGGCTGGGAAATAAAAGGGGTCCCAAAAGCAACTAAAACACCTCGGAATTACCCCAAAATCTAAAATAACACCCGGGAATTCCACCCAAAGATGGAGTTTTTGTGTTAAAATTGGCGGTTCCTGGGTTAATTTGCCTCCCCGCTGCTTCCGCGGAGCATCCGGGCGCGGCGCTTTGTTCCCCATCGGCGATGGTTTTAGTAATAAAAATACCCCGAAAGAGCGCCCGGAATTTGCGGCTTGTGTTAAAAACAGAAGTGTTTCTAAGCGTTAAGGCGGGGAAATATTAAAAGGAGAAAGAAAAAGAATTAAAATAAAAAAATAGGAGCGAGGCGTGGCGGAAACGGCGCGGCATCAAATCACACACACAGCGCTAATCACCCACAGCCCTAGAGCAGCGCTAATCACGCCACCTGCACAATGAAACAACGCCTCAAGTGCGCCAATTAACGAGGAAATGACCATTCAAAAGCACGGCAATTAAAAACAACGCCACGAACGCCGTGTGACTCCCGGCGGCCGCGGGAACCCCCTCAGGATCCACCCCCCGGTGCTCCCAGAACGCGCCGGGCCGTGCGGCCCCCGCCCGCCCCCGGGGTCAGGAGGGGCCTGGGGGGGTCCCTCCCCGGTGTTCGGGGGTCCCTGCCCGGGGGGGGGTTAAAGGGGGTTCCGGGGGTCCCCACGGTGCCGGTACCGTTGGAGGCCATGGCGGTGCCGCGCGTTCCGCGTCCGCTCCACGTGGCGCCCGCACTGCGCGCCGCGCGCGCCCGCCCGCCCTTTTATAGCCTCGGCCGGCGCGTCCCAACTGCCCCGGAGGCGCGGGGGGGGATCGGGGGGCGCCGGGCGGTGGTACGGTCCTGGCGGGAAAATGGGAGGGGCTTGGGGAGCTCGGGGCGCCCCCTGGCGGGGCGGAGGAGATTTGGGGACCCTATAGAACCCTATAGAAACCCCATAGAACCCTATAGAAACCCTACAAACCCTATAGAATCCCATAGAACCTTATAGAGGCCTTAGAAACCCTACAGAACACTATAGAGACCCTAAAGGGACCCTCTGGGATCCTATAGAACCCTATAGAGACCCTATAGAAACCCTATAAACACTACAGAGACCCTCTAAACCCTATAGAGACTCTCTGGGATCCTATAGAGAACCTACAGAAACCCTATAAACCTTATAGAGACCCTATAAACCCTATAGAACTCTATAGAGACCCCACAGAACCCTATAGAAACCCTATAGAGACCCTATAAAGCTTATAGAACCCCATAGAACCTTATAGAGACCCTAGAAGCCCTACAGAACCCTATAGACACCCTATAGAGACTCTCTGGGATCCTATAGAACCCTGTAGAGAACCTATAGAAACCTTATAAACCTTATAGAGACCCTATAGAACCCTATAGAGACCCTATAAACTTTATAGAACCCCATAGAACCTCATAGAGACCCTATAGAACCCCATAGAGACCCTGTAAAACCCTATAGGCACCCTATAAACCCTATAGAGACCCCACATAAACCCCTTTAAGGCCCCTATAGAACCCTATTTACCCTTATAGGACCCTATAGAACCTCGTAAACCCCTCTGGGATCCTATAGAACTCTCATAAACCCCCTACAGAAACCCTATAAACCCTTCTTGGACCCCATAAATCCCTCTAGGACCTTATAGAACGCCCATAACCCCCTATAGAACCCTCCAGGACCCTATAAATCCCCTATAGAACTCCAAAAACCCTTTCCAGGACCCTATAGAGCCCCTATAGAACTTCCATAAACCCCTCCAGGACCCTATAGATCCCCTATAGAACCCCAAAAACCCCTCCAGGCTCCTATAGGGCCCCGCCCAGCGCCGGGGGGGGGGCGGCGCCTATGGCGCCCCGGTGACGTCAGAGGAAGGGGGCGGGGCCCGGCCGGGCTCCGTAAAGGTCGGGGCTGGAAATAGCGGGGGGAGCCTAT